ATATCTTGAACCCTACAGACTAAAATTGCAAGGAAGAAAGTAACTGATTGCAGACAACAAGTGCATATTTGAATGACTGGAACGTTTATATGCAGATGAAACTTGAGAAAGATAAGTAATTCTTTATCTTAACGTATTAAACATATATTTATAACAACTTCATTGATTGTTAATTAAACAAGATAAGTTTATTTAATCTGTATCTATCACTTTGTTTGCCTTCGTTGACGACTTGTTCTGTGTATTTCTTGCCAAATGTGAATAATCGCGACATGAAATACTTGTCCGCGAAAAAAACTTTCTTAATGTCTTTAATGTTTATATTTGTTATTTTGTACCTTTAAAACTTAATAAATACTCTACTACAAAACATAATTAAACTGTGGTTGGTAGTTTGATCTTGTTAGAATACCTTTTTCCCTAACTTTCAGATGAATAAATTGGAAAACGAATGAGCAAAATAGGGAAATTCACACAAATACTTATGATTAGACCACGGCAAGCTCCACTCCTCGCTCAACGTTTTTTTTCAAAAAAGGAAATTTAATTATGAATTCTACACAAATAAATTAAAAATATTTTACTCTAGAGTTTTGAAGGATGTTTTTATTGTAAAAAATGTACTGGTAGGTGCATTTTACGTCGTTTTAAATCATGTTTTAGTGCATTTTTTTACCCAGTTTTGGAAATTTAAAAAACCCGCGTTCATTTCCGTTACGTGAAAAGACTGGGCATGACAACAGTGGGCATGCCTGGGCATGGCTTCACATTTCCGGCTGGAGGTATTGTTCCAGTTATTTTTAGTTCAATGGGTACCGTATTTACTCATTTGAGCGCCGCCCCCGATTGAGCACCGCCCCCGAATGAGCGCCGCATTTGAGATCATTTTTTTTAAAAGAGCGCCGCACTAAACAGTGTCAAAATGGGGACATTTAGTAACGAAAACCTTTTAAAACTTGTCTATTTTATAGTTAAAAGTTCTTGTCATAATTCACAAATAAAATATTTTTTAAAGAGCGCCGCCCCCGAATGACCGCCGCATCTGAAGCTCTGAAAATTTAAAGAGCGCCGCGGCGCTTAAACGAGTAAACGCGGTATACCTTCCTATTCTGTGATTAGGCGTACTGTTCCAGTACTTCGTATTAATGTACAACTAAATGAACTAATTATTAAAAAGTAAACAGACCTTTAAACTGAAGAACTTGATTGGCTTGTATACATTGGTTTCTTTGTCATATAGTTCAATTGCTGTTGCTTGTAAATGTTTTATAAACCAGTACTGCGAAGTAGCGAAATTTCGGGCCGTCTTTCACAACAAATAACATCACAATAACTGCACATCACTTTCTCTTTAATACAGAATCATTTTCCCCGTCCATTGAGTTATAATTTCCAAAACGAACCAGTCGCTATAACGTAAAATAAGCGGGTATTTGTGAACAAAAATGCCCTTTGATATAACACGAGGTAACCAGCGCCATCTTGTCTTCTCCAAACATTACAGATTTTCCCGCCAAAACCCGCCCCCAAAGTCCCGTATGTACCTGACGTCACAAGTGTCATCGACGGGGGGGGGGACTACCATATTTGGTGGTAAAATTTTTTCAAAAATACGCACTAAATCCAATTTTAATCTCTTTACCTTCGCTACTTTTGCTTTCCACATGCCAACAAAACTAGCTTCTTAGCACATACATAGCATACGCTTTATAAAATACTTAAAAAATGGACCTAAACAATATTGGAGCGACAACAATTTTGGAAAGTTTCTCCGGAAATTTTTCTCACTTGATGAAAAAACTTTTTCATCTCTTTTTTTCTTTTCTTTTTTTCACATTATTGTACGTTGGAACAGCACTATAGTATCAATAGTATCAATATATATATAGCCTTAGAATGTTATATATTTTATGGCAATATTTTATAAAAATTTCATCGGCAAGTTGCTGAATATTTCAAAAGTATCAACAATTAGTAATGTTTCCAAGACCTCTCTGAAAATCGGAAGCAAGTCATTAAAATGATATAATTATATGTTCTATTTCATTTCAAAAAGCAAACAAATGTTCCTCTTTTGTTACGATAGCACTACCCTGGATTCCAAAGCCTTTGACAGCAAATAATAAATTGAAACATTGCGAAAGCTCTGGTTCAACAGGAAGATTCTTTGATTTATAAACCGTGTCAATCACAGAACAGAATTAGTGCTGTTAGTACAGAATCTGTACTAATTACTAAAACCACTAATTCTGTTTTGTGATTGGCGCAGTTTAATCAAAGAATCTTCCCGTTGAACCAGAGCCTTCGCGATGTTTCAATTTATTATTTATTGTCGAAGGCTCTGGAATCCAGGGTATGATAGCACACATGCTTTCAATATTTTTCCACAAACTGCTTATTTTGGGCATGGTATAGCGCCGCAGTGTAACTTTTCAGGATTTTCATAAATCAGCAAGATCTCGCTTGTAAACTTGTCGAAATGTTTTCTCGCTAACCTGTTACAAAAAACTTTAATTAAGAACGAATTTACCAACCTCCAAAATTAATGGCTACCGTAAGCGGTCAGTATAATCTGCAGACTGCAGACCGGGTACAAAATGCAGACTGGGGGTATAAAATGCAGACTGAGGATAAAATGCAGACTGGGGGTGAATTAGGGATATTTTACAAATTCCCGCCAAGCCATAGTCGAAATGGACAAAGACACGATGTAGAGGTATTGATATTATATGAATGTTTATATTATTCTCATTCAACCGTAAAACTTGATAACTTTAACACATTTCTTTATGTTTAATATTTGAACGTTTGGTTACGTTGCATTAGATCGGAACAATGAAATCTGGACGTTTTGAGTGTGAAATTGTAATGGTATATATCGTGTCGACTGTCAAGCACATGGTTTTGTATTAGCAATTTTTCATATTTTCAAGCGTTTCGCTCCTGTAATTCAAGTTCATATACATATATAGACCAATAGCAAGCTTGCGTTTGCCGAGTTTTGAAACATATATGAGTAGAGTGCTTGTCGACAGTCGACACGATATATACCATTTACAATTTCACACTCAAAACGTCCAGATTTCATTGTTCCGATCTAATGCAACGTAACCAAACGTTCAAATATTAAACGCAAAGAAATGTGTTAAAGTTATCAAAAAAGGAAATTTAATTATGAATTCTACACAAATAAATTAAAAATATTTTACTCTAGAGTTTTGAAGGATGTTTTATTGTAAAAATGTACTGGTAGGTGCATTTTACGTCGTTTTAAATCATGTTTTAGTGCATTTTTTTTACCCAGTTTTGGATATTTAAAAAACCCGCGTTCATTTCCGTTACGTGAAAAGACTGGGCATGACAACAGTGGGCATGCCTGGGCATGGCTTCACATTTCCGGCTGGAGGTATCGTTCCAGTTATTTTTAGTTCAATGGGTATACCTTCCTATTCTGTGACTAGGCGTACAGTATGTGGCCCAGTTTCGGGTCATTTCAGGTTTGAACTTCTATATCTTCCTTTTCAGGAAAGGTACGATTTTTAAATGCTCACTTGAGAATAGGAAAGGTGTTTCTTAACAATATTTCAAAAGATTGACCTTTCTTACCTTTCACTTTTAGAATTATTTATATTTTTAAGAATCATTTTAGGTGCCCAGTATCGGGTCAACTGCACCAGTATCGGGTCGCTTCAAGTTTCTTTGTTTATTGTATAAAAGCGTTTGTTTTACGGCAATTTTTGATCATTTTTTATAGTTTCAACATGTCTTAAGTTATGCCATATAAAAAAAAATAGTTGGTTAGCGTCCTTAGCTTTTGCCAAAAAGTGGGCGGGCGGGCGGGCGCTTTTTTTTAAATTTTTACTAATTTTTAACGCCTTGGTTTTACTCACTGTTAGATCCGAAACTGGATTTTCTTGCGCAGTACAGATATTTTTTTATATATTTCAAAATATAATTCATACCGTCATTTTCGCACGCAATTTCGCAAATTATTAACACAATTGACTACAGTCAACAGAAATACTACATATATTAGAGCCCGTTGATCAATAAAAGTCGGGTTTTTTTTAAATAAAAAATAAAAAATAAATCCTGAGCGGGGCCTTTTTTGTGGGCGGGCGAGGACGCTAACCAACTATTTTTTTTTTTTATGTGGCCTTATTAAAAATTTTTTTGTGAGGTTTTGACAAGGTTTAGACATGATATTTCCAGCTTGAAACTACCTCTTCTACACAGTTTGTGCGGAGTGCGTTCTAAGCACTGCTTCCACTTTCAAAGGTTGAAACATAGCTGACCCGAAACTGGGCCACAAAGCTGAACTTTACGTAATTTGTGGGACCAGTATATATCTCTGAATAATTGAATGCTTAAACTTTCCATTTCATATTTATATATTCTCGGCAATAATCTATCGTTAGGACAAAATTGAGCAGTTACATGGAGAATTACATATCAATAATACGATTTATTGTTATTAGTTAGTTTTACTGCGCAGTGAAATGAACAAATTTTAGTAAAAGAATATAAACATACCTGGACAAAAGGGATTCTACTTTGAATACAGTTCAACTGAAAAGCCTGCGAAAACTATCATCCAAAAAAGGAAAGCTTCGCCATTATTTTATTTCGCGTCGCTTTTATCTCGGCAGAAAAAAATGAAATCAAATTTCTATTGACCCACTACTGGTACTGACCTGAAACTGGGCCACATACTGTACTGTTCCAGTGCTTCGTATTAATGTACAACTAAATGAACTAATTATTAAAAAGTAAACAGACCTTTAAACTGAAGAACTTGATTGGCTTGTATACATTGGTTTCTTTGTCATATAGTTCAATTGCTGTTGCTTGTAAATGTTTTATAATAAACCAGTACTGCGAAGTAGCGAAATTTCGGGCCGTCTTTCACAACAAATAACATCACAATAACTGCACATCTTTTTCTCTTTAATACAGAATCATTTTCCCCGTCCATTGAGTTATAATTTCCAAAACGAACCAGTCGCTATAACGTAAAATAAGCGGGTATTTGTGAACAAAAATGCCCTTTGATATAACACGAGGTAACCAGCGCCATCTTGTCTTCTCCAAACATTACAGATTTCCCCGCCAAAACCCGCCCCCAAAGTCCCGTATGTACCTGACGTCACAAGTGTCATCGACGGGGGGGACTACCATATTTGGTGGTAAAATTTTTTCAAAAATACGCACTAAATCCAATTTTAATCTCTTTACCTTCGCTACTTTTGCTTTCCACACAAAACTAGCTTCTTAGCACATACATAGCATACGCTTTATAAAATACTTAAAAAAATGGACCTAAACAATATTGGAGCGACAACAATTTTGGAAAGTTTCTCCGGAAATTTTTCTCACTTGATGAAAAAACTTTTTCATCTCTTTTTTTCTTTTCTTTTTTTCACATTATTGTACGTTGGAACAGCACTATAGTATTTATTATTATTGTGACCAATGATCAAATCCACCAACACAATACAAGAAATAAAACACAACTCCACAAGTCATACAAAAGAACGAACTATGTAAAACATACTCTTTCAAATAAAGGAGTCGATGTTTGGAATAGACTTGAATGTCATTTTAAAAATATAACTTCTCGTAATACTTTCAAAAATACTATAAAAGAACACTTCCTTCAAATATCAAGTAATTAATCAAATTATATGTACAATGTAACACTTTATGCTGTAAATAGCTTTCACATTTTCTCTCTTTCTTTTCTTTTAACTATAATACTTATTGTAATATATTTTAAATTTGGTTGACTGTATAGTCTGTAGTTAGAACTAGCATCAAAATTTTATATCAATAGGGGTCTTAAATAAAAGCCTGTTAAGGTTTCTGGTAGGCCCCTACCATAACATTAATCTAATTTTTTTTAATGTAAATATTTATGTTATAATATATGGGCAATAAAAAGGAAAAAATATATATATAGCCTTAGAATGTTATATATTTTATGGCAATATTTTATAAAAATTTCATCGGCAAGTTGCTGAATATTTCATAAGTATCAACAATTAATAATGTTTCCAAGACCTCTCTGAAAATCGGAAGCAAGTCATTAAAATGATATAATTGTATGTTCTATTTCATTTCAAAAAGCAAACAAATGTTCCTCTTTTGTTACGATAGCACTGAATATTTCTGAATATTGTTGGAAAGAATTCCTCTTATCAAAACAATAACTTTGGACAATAAAACAGCTTTGAACAATTTGGGTGAAATGAAGGAAAATTTTCATATCATTTGTGTGTACTAGTACTAACAATACACAACTACTGTAAGGGGAAGAGCATGCACTGTCATTCAATGAATAAATCAGATTACCTGCTCATAACCTTAACCTATTAAAGTAACCTCAGTTAACCTATTAAAGTAAGCTGCACTGTCGTGCCCTTATTGTGCTCCATATAAAACATAGCCAGAGATGGGCTTGGAAAAATTGCATGTACAGTACATTATACTTTTATTTTTGCTGTCTAAATTTGATGTCATGTTATGTTTCAAATATAATATAATATTAAATGATAATTAATGTGCTCTACTCTACTATTTTACTCTGTCAGAGCTGTGCAAACTCAGGTTATTTTAGCTCCGGCAGTCAAAATTCCGGCAAAGAAATTTTAAGGCCATGTTACACGGTGCAATTTTTCTTGCAACTTGCAATGCAATTCCACTCTTGAGAGATGTTAATTAGTGAAATCAGTGAAGCATTTTCAATATGGTGATCGCTAGATAGTATACTTCAAAATAAGGTTTCCGTTTTTATAACGTAGAAAAAACTATCCTAACGCAAAAATAAGCCCTAACCCTAATACTAACCCTCACCCTAACCCCAACCTAACCCTAACCTAACCCTAACTTATCCTAAAAATTGATATAAAAACGGAAACCTTATCCTGAAGTATACTATCTAGCAATTGCCTTTTCAATATGTTGATAAAACATCAGCGGAGGGTAATGAAGACTCGTATTTGGCAATTTTAAATCTCTCAAAAGTAGAATTGCATTGCAAGTTGCAAGAAAAATTGCACCGTGTAACATGGCCTTTAAGGAAATTTCATATTTAAAAGTAGAAGCAGGCGAAAGTATTTCAGTGTAATTTCAGAATTTATTTTATTCCTTTTTGAGCTTTCTCCTTTACTGATCAAATCTATGTGCTTCGATCGGTGCTCGTTTAATTAAACAAATGAACGTTTTGTAGAAAGTAAAATCGCATGACAGTGTGGTATAAATTTTTGCCCAAAATTCATTGGGGTCAGCGGAATTTTGTATCAAAAGCGATAGCAATGCGCTTGCAGAATTTTCGAATCGGAGCAAGTAATTAAACTGTATAGTAAATAAGTAAAGTTCAAATCATTCAACTTAATTTTTCCATTACCAAAAGTTCATTGAAATATGAAATAATTTTTCATAATTTTGTCTGCCGGAGTTTTCCAACTCTGGCTCAGGCAAAATATGCTGGAGCTCTGGCACACAGCTCGCCTCTACTCTGTCTAATGGCAGACAATTTTACTCGTCAGGGGGAGAATGCTGGGAAGAATTACCCAGGGAAGAATTACCCACTTCTTCCTAGAATTTCATGGAGTCCATGCAAATACATTTTTGCACAATAAACATACATTATTCAAACCAGCAGAGAGTAAAATTGCTTACGGTACTGTACAGGTCCTTCCTGGCATTTTACCAAATCCAAGGGACTAGACCTCCTACATCACTGCTGTGCCTAACTTTATTACTACCATTTGCAATCAACTTAGGGGTGGAAACATTGTAATAGCTAATGCCACTTAATGCGTTTGACATGAAAATTGGTTGCCCGGAATATAATGCACTTGCCATCAGGTCAAGCACTCTCCCCTTGATGAGTAAAATCATCTGGTGTTAGACAGAGTAAAATCATCTGGTGTTAGACAGAGTAAAATCATCTAAAATCATCTGGTGTTAGACAGAGTAAAATCATCTGGTGTTAGACAGAGTAAAATAATAAAGTAAGGTCATTTTATAACCAAGTGATTTGATGACTTAATTAGTCATAAAGTGTTGATTTGAGCTGATCTAACTTGCCCTACGTAATCAGAAGTGGCTTGTATATTTCATAACTCAATAAATACACCCTTCTAGAAAGTAAGTCATAATCACCGATGTAATAACACACAGGTACGTGACCCCAGCATAGTTTTGACAAAATTTTGCAAAAAACCCAAAAATAATTCGCTTTTTTAACAACCTTAGAATGAACTTTTGAAGTTAAAACTTTGAGAGAATGTAGTAAAATTACCAGTGTTTGAAATGATGTAGATTTTATATTGTTTTTGTTTGTAATTTGCGAAATATTCATACTCTAGTAAACGTTGTAATAAATTTCCGTTAAAAGTCTTGCCAACCTTGTCATAATAATAAACTGAGTAGACTCGATGCACGCCCGAGCGCCACGCGCGAGGGTAAATATTACAACACGCACTTTTGGGCAGCCTATGGTTCTATACTGTTTTTTACGAATATCAAGTCCCAACATAAACATTGTGGTTCGGGGTGTCCGTGTTCATTTTAAGGGGCAATTATGTCCCAGGCTCCTGAGTACACCCCGTAACATCTCCCTCCTCAGAGTTCAACATAAACGTGTTTTTAATTAATTAAACTTGCATTAGGATTCAATGACATAGTCCTCGAGATATGCTGGTCTACGTGTTTGTCTATTGGATGTTCTCCTTGTACCATTGGGAGCTGCATGCTCTTCAGGTTCATTAGCCTGCATGGCAGGCGGTATTTCTACGGGCAGCGAAAATTAGGGAAGCAAAGGAAATACCGTCTGCCGCAAAACTAGTAGCCTGCTCGCAGGCCGTTGTCAGGCAGAGGCTGCGATGATTAACGGCCTGCAACCTTTATTAGTAAAAAGTCGATTTATGCGTACGGAGCGTACGCAAAATTCCCATTGGTCAAAAGTGCCCCGTGAGTTAATATCGTGCAAATATTTAACTCGTACGGCATTTCGCAATGTAATTTTAAAGCTGGCATTCAATCAGTGGCGTATAAAACCATGACTTTGTTTATCTCTTCGAAGAAGTAACTGAATGTATTTGAGAAACCTTTCAATTTAAATTAACGTTGAAGGATGAGCGAAGGTTAGCAATATTAACTGTACTTCCAACGGGATTTGATAAAAGTTTACATGTAATATACCGATACTTTGTCTTCGTCAGCTATAATAATAAACCTTTTCCAAAGAAGTACAAGGGAAAACTTCGACGTATGCCTTGCTGATCTTTGCAGAGAGAGTAAAATAAGTCTAGTTCGGGCTGACAATTTATCTAACCGCGTTTGCATCACTGGCGGTTTCAAACGTTGAACAACTTAAGGTTAGCCCAGCGAGACGTTCGTTGAGACACAGGCAGTGAATCAGCTAGTATAAAGCAGTTGATTGTCAAATGCCTCCGAACATTTCTCCCAAATACTTCCCTGTCAACCCAAGGCTTTCTGCCTAAACAATCTGGTCTTGAATAAGTCAAGACAATGGGCAAATTATTAAAACAGACGCCGTCGAGGAAAGTCGTTCTTAGAACACCTGGCCAATTTGAATTTACACCTGGAAATTTTGCAATAGTCGTTTGCGTGTTTTTTGACCGAAGTCCGCTCTCTCTTTGAGACTTTATTTTTGGGAGTCTCAACTAGTGACATATATTATTACAACAAGAGCTTTTTACAAAAAAATGTAGTTATTAAACACGGCAGAATCTATGCCACGGCCACGGGTTTTCAAATTGTCTATTGTCTATTGAGTTACTGCATGTAATTGTATTATTGAGCAAATGACAGACTTCACGCAATAATGATTAATGTTGTTTTTTAGCCTGCTATTGTTCGACACTTTTAATAAATAGTGTTTGTTACTTTGTTCAAAACCTAAATACGTTTCCTTAAATCTTACAGTTATATTTTGGATATAAATATATAAAATACATTAAAACTAATAGAGTAAAATTTTACGTCTCTGTAGTGTAGTATAGTTACATAATTTAAAACGGCAATGTACGAACAAGACAGCAATATACAAACGGGACTATGTTTTAAATATTAGAACACTTTAGGGAAAAAACGACCATGAATTATTTTAGATTAAAGTTTAGACCTTGGAATCCTAGTGAAAGATACAGGCGTAAAATTGCGCGAGAAACTGTTTGTTGTTGTTAATAACCTCTGGTAATCTAATTAACAAAACTTGCTTTGATTGGCTACTATTTACCGGATATTCAATTATCTCAAAGGGGGCGTATTGAAAAAATATCAATAAAAGTCGCAGGCTCTATATAATAGAGCCTGTGAGCAGGCTACAAAACTAGGGGTTTTTGAATTACCCGTCCGCTGGTGAACGGGAAAAACGGATTGGTTAGTATTTTTATGTAGTTGTCAATCAACGGCTAAATTCGGTTAAATGTTAATCATTAACCAAATGTTTTGACGTTTTGAAACTCTGCGTTTTGAAATTAGTTCACGTCAAGTCAGACCAGAAATGGAATAACATAATAAAAGAAGCAAATTAAAAGATACAAGCTGAAAAATAACACTCTAAATAGTGTTATTGATAGAGATTCGAACAAGAATATTTAACAAAGAAGATACGTCCGAAGGGGCCGAAGTTATGATCGGCGAAAGGTATGGGCTAGTCTATATTTTTGTTCAGACAATAATTACATGCGTATTAATTTTATAATATACTATCTCGCTTGACTTTCAAAGGCCATAAATCGCAATAATGTTGACATTTTACTAAAACTATCGATAGAAATTAGGAGATATTTCTTCACTGAATCGAACAGTGGGATTTCCATATAGGCCTATCAGTCATGTTCTGAACCAAAGATACTTGATAGATATTATATACGAACCTCCAAAGTATAAACAAGGGGCCGGTTGATGCAGTAATTATCAAGTAACAGTTAAACTCTTATATACCCGTTGAATATGTATAGTTGTAAACAAATAAAAACTATCGTTCTATAAGGTTCAATACTTTCAGTTTGGTTGTTGACTTGCATGCTTTGTATTTTGAGCTTATTAAACCACCGTTTTAAGGCAGCTAAACGGCTAAACGGGCTTGGTTTATATTAACACATAAAATAAATTCCTTGATTCTCATCACTAGACATACCCTGGTTCCAGAGGTTTTTAAACCTCTGGAACCAGGGTACACTAGACACAGTCTACACTTTGAAATGTCGAAGACAGTGGGAGATTTATTTTTTATATTTTATATTTATATAATTTATATATCAATAGTTCGTATCTCCACGAACAATGACAGAATGACTGAGTTTCTTTAAAATACAATGAAATTTCACTCAAAATTCTGTTTGTTTCAAATTGGAAGTTTAAAATGGCAATAAAAACTCTATATAAAATATGAAAAAATTAACTGTCTTGAATTATTTTGTCGGGCGGTACATTTATATTGTATAACGAAAAATAAAACGTTTTCACGAGGATTTTAAAATTCAGTCGGGCGGTGATGAGAATCAAGGAATTTATTTTATGTTGGGCAGTTGGGACTTGGGAGCAGCTTGGGAGTGGCTAATTTTGAATATTTACTTAACTAATGCATCTATAAATAGCGTTGATGCTTCAGGGGCGGTAGTTCATTTACACCCAGTTTTGCGGCAGGCGGTATTTCCTACGTACCGCCTGCCATGCAGGCTACAGGTTCATGAGCAACCGGTTCCTTGCATTCTGGCAGCTGCTGTCGATCTGGTACATCATGTTCTTCCATTGGTAATTCTATGTCTGCGTCTAATTCGTCTGGTTCCACAGTTTTCCGAAGATGCCTGCGATTTCTTCTATAGTTTCCTCCATCATCAGTTGCAACAATATACGACCTCGGACTAACAATCGCTTTCACCTTTCCTTTCCTCCAGCTTTTCTTTCCTTTCTCGGGCATCATACGGACTGCATCACCGACCTTGAGTGTTGGAAGTTTCTTTGACCCCTTGTTGTAATAGTAAGCTTGTTTAGTTTTTGCCTGTTGGAGCTCCTGTTTTGTAGAATGCATACAGGTAGGCTCAAGCAATTTACGCGAGGTTGGAATTGTGGATCTTGTTCTCCTTCCAAATAATCGTTGTGCTGGCGAGGTACTCATACCTTCTGATGGTGTGTTCCTGTGTTCGAGCATGGCCAGATAAGGATCTGCTTTCGCGTCTAACGCTTTCATCATAATTCGCTTTGCTGTCTTCACCGCACTTTCCGCTTTCCCGTTTGATTGAGGATATCGAGGCGACGAGGTTACATGTTCGAATTCATATTGCGCAGCAAAGTCCTGAAACTCGCTGGAACTGTACTGTGGCCCGTTATCACTGACTACCCGCTCAGGTACACCGCAACGTGCCATGTGTGCCTTTAATTTTTGGATAACTTCAGTGCTTGTCTTCGAGTATAGTCTGTCTACTTCTATAAAGTTAGAGTAGTAATCCACTGTAACAAGGTAGTCTTTGTTTCGAAGCTCAAACAGATCTGTTGCGATCGACTCCCACGGACGTGTTGGGACTGGAGAACTCATAAGAGGTTCTTTTTGGTTTGTTGCTCGATACTGCGCACAAACATTGCACTTCGCGATGACATCCTCAATGTCCTTGTTCATCCCTGGCCAATAGAATACTTCCCTTGCTCTTCTAAGTGTAGCCTGTACCCCGCCATGGTTGTAGTGAAGTTTTTCTTTCATTTCTGTTCTCAATCCTTCTGGCACAATCAACCGCTCTCCTTTAAAAATAACTCCATTCTGTACTGTCAACTCATCGCGAAACGGGTGATAGACTCGTAATTCCGGAGAAACTTCAGCTAGTGTATTTGGCCACCCTTCTTTCACAATTCGAACCAATGCCTGCAGGTGGCTGTCTGCCTCCGTGTGCTCTTTAATTTGGACTAAAGTAGTTTCTCTTACCGCTAGGTTCTGCAACATATCAATTTGCTCGACTTCTCTTTCCGTTGCTGATCTTGTGTCATGCATAATCATTACTTCTTCTGTCTCTCCTGGTCCTTCGGCATTATGTTGGTGGAGAGTTGCTCGACTTAGTGTATCTGCCATAAACATAAGTGGCCCCTTCTTGTACACAACTTCGAGCTCAAACTTCTGGAGTCGTAGTATCATTCTTTGTAAGCGTTTCGGTGCACTTAGGAGGCTTTTCTTCAAAATAGACTCTAGTGGTTTGTGATCTGATTCCACTTTTACGTTTCGACCATACAGATAACTTTCGAATCTTTCCATCCCAAACACGATGGCCAGCATCTCTTTCTCGATCTGAGCGTACTGCACTTCAGTTGGTGTTAGAGACCTTGATGCATATGCCACTGGTTGATTGTTTTGTAAAAGGCATGCTCCAAGACCATTCATGGACGCATCACACTGCAGGACTGGCATTACATTGGGATCAAAGAACCGTAGTACTGGTGGTTCTGAGAGGATCTGCCGGATTTCATCCAACGCTTTCCCGTGTACATGTTCCTCCCATATGAATTCATTTCCTTTCTTGATCAGATCACGTAAAGGTGTAGTAATTTCAGCTAGCTTAGGGGCAAACTTCTGAACATAGTTCACCATACCAAGCAACCGCTGCACTCCCAGCTTATCTGTGGGGACTGGCATGTCTCGGATAGCCTTCGTTTTCTCGGGGTCAATCTTTAGTCCATTCGATGTAATACGATGGCCCATGTAGCTTACCGCTTTGAGTTGAAGTTGGATCTTGTCAGGGTTCAGCTTGAGACCCTTCTCTCTGCATCGTTCCATCAAACCCCTGAGGTTCTTGTCGTGGTCTAGATAAGCTTCTTCATCGGTTGCACCACTTCCATAAACAAGAATGTCACCTGCAATGACTTTTATTCCAGGGAGACCCAGCAAGATGTCATTCACACGACGTTGAAACTCTTCGGGTGCGGGTGATATGCCAAAGGGCATGCGCAGCCACCGGTACCACCCCACGGAGTGCCAAAAGTTGTTGCATAGGAACTGGGCTCATCAAGACGGACATGCCAAAACCCGTTCTTGGCATCAAGGACTGAGAAACAGCGAGCCTGGGCCAAATCCGGTAGGATATCGTCAATGGTGGGTGAAGGGTAATGGTTACGCTTGAGAGCCTTATTTAATGGCTTTGGGTCAATACACAATCGGATGTCACCATTCTTCTTGACTGTAACCACAATAGCCGATATCCAGGTCGTCGGTGTATCTACAGGAGCTATGACGTTCACATCGACTAGTCGGTTGAGCTCTGCTTTGAGTTTATCTTTCACAGCCAGTGGAATCCTTCGTGTTGGGAGCTGGACTGGGGAGATGGATTCATCAATCTCCAGATGCAATGTGCCCGGTAAAGTTCCTTGACCCTGGAACACTGCTGGATACTCCTCAATGAGATGCTGTTTGGTGATAAACTTGGGTACATCTTTGACATTTGACTCGGTAGTAAAAATGTTCTCTTTGTTAACTGCAAGTAAGTTCATGAGTTGACTAGCTTTAGCCCCGAGTATGGACTTGCAATTCTCTTCCACTACCATAAACTCTACACTGTATTTCTTGTTATTCTTAGGATTAATAACTTGAATCCTTGTCTTTCCAATAGGCTTCACTTCGGACCCATTGTACATTACAAGGGTTGTGTTTGTTTTCACCAGCTTCTTCTCAATAGGCTTTCGAAAACAACCTGCCATTGTCCTTTTAGATAATACATTTACTGTGGCTCCACTGTCAAGTTGAAAACTTTCTAGGTTTTTGTTAATCATCAAGGGGGCACTTGGTTTGTAGGTGTATTGATCAGAGTTAACTGCACCTACCTCTTCTTTGGTCTCCACCAGAGCTATATATTCTCCCTCCGATGAGTCTGTATCATCGTTGACGCCCGATACTGACTTTCGTTGGCTAAATGGTCTTCGTTGAGCATTACAGACGACTGCGAAATGATTCTTTCTTTTACACAATGAGCATGTTTTGCCCCAGGCTGGGCATTTGAACTTATCTCTGGGATGAGATTTGTTGCAAAATTTACACTTGATTAACACTTCTTCATCTCTTTTCTCGACTCGCTTCCTTTGCTCTTTGTACTGTTCTTTTCCAACAGCCGACACTTGCTCACCTTCAACTTTCATCGACTCGAGTTGCTTCGCCGTCTTTTCACAAGACCGAACTATATCTATACTTTGTTGCAGAGTAAGCTTTGAGACTTGCAATAATTTCTTTCGTGTGGCGTTGTCCTTAATACCCATGACAATACGATCTCTTATCAAGTTGTCTTCCAAATTACCAAAGTTGCACGTCTTGGCTAAAGTACGAAGGGCTGCGAAGTAAGCATCAACCGTTTCGTGTGACTCTTGATCTCTTTTATTAAAACAATACCGTTCGTACGTCTCATTTGTCTCTCCAATACAATACTTTTCCAACTTGCTTACGACAACATCGATGTCCTTTCTCTCGTCTTCATTCGCGAAGTCCAGTCCGTCAAACACATCAAGAGCATCAGCTCCAATGCACGTCAACAGAGTCGCTGTTCTTAGTTCTTTATTTGTACTAGGGTTATTCGGACCTGGCAGACGTGCTGCTATTTCGTAGTTGTTCCACGCGCGATAAAACCTTTTCCAATTCGTTGCCAGATTACCTGTCATGGCCAGCTGCGGTGGCATGGGCAAATTCACCGGAATTTGTATCACTTTAACCTCCTGAGACGCCATCGATGTTGTCGGTTCATCATGGTCCGACATATTTAGAATATTTTCACAATATCTCCTCGAATGCTTCACACTTTCGCCTCGTCTTGCGCGAGTTCACGGAGTTGCTGCTGCACAATAGACTTTCCAATCGATAAATAACTGCTTAATTCACTCCTGGTACCATGTTATGTTATGTATAAACAAGTAAAAGCTTTTTTATTTCATAAATCCAGACGATAACAATACGTTCTATACTGTTTTTTACGAATATCAAGTCCTAACATAAACATTGTGGTTCGGGGTGTCCGTGTTCATTTTAAGGGGCAATTATGTCCCAGGCTCCTGAGTACACCCCGTAACAAGCAATACTTATTTTTGATATCGTTATTTTTGATAATTTAGTATAAAAGACTATGTTCAACGAGATATTCTCTACACCATTGCGATTTCACTGTCTTAACGGTTTAAATTTAGCTGTAGGGAACAATTAAATTGGATAATTAAAATTTAACATATTTTACATAACTTATTTCTAAAATTTAGCTCAAGAACTTTCCATAAGTCCCGAATTCCGACAGGCTGGCTTCTATACGATGGCCGAGGAGGGCCACATGGCCGAGGAGCCCCACTTCAGACTTCCGACTTCCAACTTCTGAGTTCGGACTTCTTTTACTACATTATTTTGAACTCATATAACTCGAACTCGTTGCTTTTTCGAACTAATTATTTTTTCCTTTGAGGCTTGACTCATGAAACTTAGCCAACTAACTTAAGTTTGAAATGGCGGGGTAACCGGTGTTCTACTGTGGTGGATAATGAAAATTTTGTCAATTGACAATATCAATTTGATAAATTCAGATATGTGAGGTTAATTTTATCGCCAAAATAGATAAATTTCTTATCCATATGATTATATTGGTGATTGTTTTTTTCTGGATGATATTTTGTAAAGTTTTTGAGCTAAGTTTTGGAAAAAGTGATGTTAATGTTAAATTAAATTTTAATTTATTTTTAAATGTCCCCTACGGCTAAATTTGATAAAGAACATCCCGTTGAACATACATCGTTTTTTTTCTACTAAAATACATACGATATCAAAAATAAGTATTGCTAACAAAGAATGATAATACTGTTGGAAACACGGCAACATAAAATTGAAAAAATGAAATAAAATAACGAATTCGGAAATTCTGGATAAGAAAATTATGATATATGTAGACGTTATCAGCAAAATTAATGCAGAATCGAAGCAATCGGTTTGGATCTGCCGTGTTTAGCTGGAAAGGCATAAGAAGTCAGAAGTCGGAACTCAGAAGTCGGAACTCAGAAGTCGGAAGTCAGAAGTGGCCCTCCGCGGCCATCGTAAAATTGTGACATTCAGGGCTTCACTGTAATTTGCTGATCGTCATGATCGATGTTCTTACAGTAATAAGCGAGAAATTTCACTTGGACAGTTAATGTAATGCAATGTCTGTTTTACTAGGGAAAAATAAAAAAAAAGCATTTGAGAGATTTCACTTAAATACATATTTAGTATCTAACCATGTTGCAGTAGTGAATCTAGTGTCAAATTTATTATGTGGTTTGTATTTTCTAATGTCAAACATAAGTTACAAATATACAGTCACACAACCTCGTACCCAGGGCATTTTCGACAGTCACATACAATATTTGTAACATTCATACTTTGACTTATCTTTTAGTAGGCTTTTGTCGGATTATTTTACCGTAGGTTTGATAACAGAGAGGTATACTTCTACATATTTCTTGAGCATCAAGTTTCAGCAAAGTCAATGGCATGTTGGAATTTGGAAATTTCACAGCGCTCATTTTAATAACAGTCCGAGTAGCATTGTTTACATGCAAGGTTTGTTCCGTTTGTAGTTTGCGATATTTCAGAAACCAAAAGATCTCTCAATTTCGTTACAATTCCACATCTCAGTATAAAATAAATTCTTTAGAATAGACTTCAGCAGTTTTAAATAACAGCAACATCGGTTGCATTGGTCTAGAGATATATTTTCTTGTAATGTTTACGACGACGTCGGTAATATCGACAACAAAATTACCGATATGGATATCGATGCATCACTATTTTGCAGACCGGCGATCTTCTTTGTAACCCACAGTTATATTAAATGACCGTATTACCGGTTATAAAAATTTGACTGTATCTAGTGGATAGCACTATTCAGCTTTCATACATGTGGCCTTTGAGCCATTGAAGAATCGCAGTAATTAATTTATCTGTCTATAAGATTATAACGTCCATATATTTTAGTTATATGGGGCGTGAAGTTGAACTGTTTTATATCCACACTTGGTTATAATATTTATAAACCGATCTTCCGATGTCGAAAACCCGGCCTTGACGCGCTCTAAGACTATGTATATTTGGGAAAGCCTCAGAAGAAAAAAAAACGCATTCGAAAGCCAAAGGGAGAAAGGTAAATACATGGAAATATTTTGTTTGGAACCCACGGCATTTTTTCAGGACCCACGACTTCTTATTCGGGACCCACGACTTTTTTCTCGGGACCCACAACTTTTTTCTCGGGACGCACGACTTTTTACCCACGACTTTTTACCCACGACTTTTTACCCACGACCCACGCCTTTTTACCCACGACCCACGCCTTTTTACCCACGACATTCTACCCACGACTGTTAGCTAGTCCCGTCCCAAATTAGTGAGTAGTGTTGGGGTTCTATTATAAATTTCAAGCCTCGTTTGGCAAATTACTTATAGGCATGTGAATTACGTGAAGTTGTGAGTAGCAACGAGATGTATCAAACAACGTTTACAGCCAAATTATTTGTCTACTGACTCTACCGAAGACTGCTACCGAAGTATAGCTTCGAGACTAGAGCTAAAAGACCAAGTCAAATCCGTAATGTAAACAAATCCTTTGTTTAATACATTTTGAACTGCTATATTTGTAAAATAAGACATACTAACTGAATACCAAACACTTTTCTATTGAAATATTTGCTCACTTTCGAGGTTGTCTGGAAAACGCGTGCACGTACACGCGTACACGTACACGCGTACATGGAAAACGCGTACATGGAAAACGCGTACATGGAAAACGCGTACATGGAAAACGCGTACATGGAAAACGCGTACATGGAAAACGCGTACATGGAAAACGCGTACATGGAAAGCGCGTACATGGAAAACGCGTACATGGAAAACGCGTACATGGAAAACGCGTACATGGAAAACGCGTACATGGAAAACGCGTACATGGAAAACGCGTACATGGAAAACACGTACATGGAAAACGCGTACATGGAAAACGCGTACATGGAAAACGCGTACATGGAAAACGCGTACAATGTTCATTTGTAACGTTAATTAATTAAAACTTGGCGATTTTATTGGAAGTTCTCTTGCAGACCTAGTGATTGTGTCAATGATGGTCAGATCATGGCCTCCGTGAAAGACAACTTCACAGTGGACTACGTAATGTTTAGTACTTTCATTGTGTTCCAACATGCGTCCAGAAAAAGCAGCCGTATTTCCAACCACCTCACGCTATTATCCCATGCACGTAACTGATAATGTCGATAATGTCACTTCTCCGCGATGAACATTGGAGATATATTAATCACACATTCGGAAGCCTCGCAATCCAATAAAGAAACATTTAAAACTATGCACTGACGCTTACAGACTGATTATCTATTATTTTAAATTGTTAAGGTTTTCTTTAGCAGATAGTTTATTTATCATTTATAGACCCGAAGCGAGAGGGATTCGGCGAAATATTACCCGAAGTGATGATATTTATTTAATATTTGAAATATCATCACTGAGGGTAATGTTTCGGCGAATCCTAAATGATATATTATACCGAAGGTAAA